AAAAATTGACGCGTTTCAGAAAGGCGGGGCACAGAGGAAAAACAATAATGCACAGTATGTGGAAAATAATGTGTTTGAACTTTAAACCGCATAAACACATTGCATTACACCAAATACACAAAATAATGTTATTTTTAGCAGCACCATATGACCCCTTTAAGTCACTTCTGCTCATCAAGGCTGCATTTGTTTGATTAAAAATACAGTAAGAACAGCTACATTTTGAAATATTACAATTAAAAAAACTGTTTTCTATTTGAATATATTTTAATAGGTCATTCATTTATGTGATGGTAAAGCTGTATTTTCAGCATCATTCCTCCAGTCTTCAGTGTCACATGATCCTTCAGAAATCATTCTAATATGCTGATTTGCTGATAATTTATTTTCAATGTTGAAAACAGCTGTGCTGCTTATTTTTTTTGTGGACACCGTGATGTAAATTTTTCAAGATTCTTTGATGAAAAAAGCAACTAACAAAAAACAAACAAACAAAAAAACCTTTTGTAACATAAATTTTGATCATTTTAATGCATCCTTGATGAATAAAAGTAAAAAAATTAAAAATTAAAATAAATTAAGCTTGCTGACCTCATACTTTTGAATGATTGTATTTTGAAACTCAAGTGTTTGTTCATGAAGATTAAATTAAAGAAAGTAATTTCTCCCATTCAACAACCAGTTTAGTTCGCAGTTGGTCTCACACGCTTATATTCACCAACTCACAATTCCCTTTGAAGCAGATTCATACTTGCACATATTTTCCTGCAGACACTCAGTCTCACAGCTTTGAAGGAAGATGTCCTGTCACACACACACACACACATTCCTGTGTGCATTCCACTGCACATCTGCTTGTCTGTCACTTTTATTAGTGTATTTATTGGCCTGTTTCTATTGAGTTGGCTCAGAGCTACACCATTGTTTCCCTTTCTGAGTAGGAGTACAAAAAAATGCATGCATACAAACACACAAATGCTTGCCTCAGTACACACACATTTATTCATGAATGATTTATGTTACATTTATTTATTTTACTATAAATTGCCATAGTAAGTATTATAGATGTATTTGGTACTGAATGATTACCATACTTCATATTTACATAGTGCTTCAAAGAGTACCACGATACTAGTATAAGACTTTATTTCAAGAATATTCATATCTGTAGCTCTTCAAAGGTCGGAAAACACCATATTGCTCAATGCTGTCTCATTTTTCTCTGGGAGTTTGAGTTCCTTTCCTGAAGCTGTCAAGCCTGAACCAACAGGTCATTTCTGGAAATGCCATGCAATGCTGAAAGCTGGAATAATCTGGGGCGGAATATAGTACATGTTGTGTTATCAGGAAGGGAATGCTGAGGAAAAAGAAATGTGGGAGTCATGTTATTTCCTGGAATACAGTGGAGCGCTGCGGATCGTGTATACATCTGGGTGGGAATATGCTGGATGTTGAGAGTTCAGGGAAGCAAGAACCCAAAACACGTTTGGCATCCAGGGCTGCGGTGCCAGGATGTTCCTCCTCTCCATTTCAAGATCCTAAAATGGAGATCCTGGACTGTGTCAGAACGTGTCAGGACATCCTTTGATGTGTAAACAACTCCAGCGGGCCACTTCTGGCCGTTCTCTTGCCGCTCCCATGCAGATTTAATATTATTCTTCAAATGCCACATCATGTTGCCTCTTTTGATAATATTACTTATGCTCGTATGCTCACCAAGGCTGCATTTTTGATAAAAAAAATACAGTAAAAACAGTAATATGACAATATTATTATAAGGGCTGTCAATCGATTACAAATTTATCATCTAATTAATCACATCCTTTTTCTGTTATTAATCGTGATTAATCGCACACTTCATGTTAAATTAAGCATAGACCATTTATCTTGTCTCAAATGTTTATTTTGTCTTCATTTGCAATATCCAGCAAAGTAAACCAAAAGACTGAAGGGTGATTCTCAAAAATCTGTATTTTCTGCAAGCTTTTTTCAAGATAAATTTAGATGTCTTTCCAAAAAATTACACTTAGAAACTCCAAAAGGACACCAAAGAACCAAATGATATAAGGAGCCCATATAAACACATATGAAAGAAAAAAAATCTGAATTTTATAGTATGTACAGTGCAACAGCACAGAGCTTTTTTTACATTTTAGAGAAGTCAAGTTGCGATACCGAACAGGACCACATGGAGATGCCAAAAAAAGCCTAAACCAACCGCCTGCTGACTGCATCTACTACAGTACAGGGATCCATTCAGAATAACTAAACACAGCAACATACACATGACCAATCAAAACATTACCGTGAATGTGTGTGGAAACAACGTGAATGTATACGTAAATGTCTGTGCAGTGCATAAATACAATGTGTGATCAGTGCGTCAAGAGCACTCATACATGCATTATTATAACGGACTCACGCGTGCTTTACTGTACTGTACGACTCCTGTACGTCACCGCAATCGTCTTTACCTTGATTGCAGTCTTCATCCATCAAAACTTTACTAGCGAGACTGGTTATCCAGTCGAGAAAACGTAGTTTGCTTCTCATCTACAGCGGTGGGATGTTATGAGCGCATGTTACGTGTGAGGGCTCGTGCTCTTCAGAGACAATCACAGGATATGACCGAGCTCTTGTTTTAAAGCGAAACACACTGGACTGAATAATTCACTGAAAACGCAACGCGAGACTGTTCTCTCTGCAATCTCTGATGTAATCAGCCTGGTTTCCTTTATATTAGCGCTGTTTTGGACGGATTGTTTGAATGCATTCACTTACTGGATCATTGGACTGAAAACTTTGCCGGAGTTTAGCGGCTTAAAATGATCTGATCGCAAGCAGAGAAGCAACATTGGGTTAAAGGGTTAGAATAGAAATTGTGCTTCAGTGATTTTGCGTTAATTGTGTTAAATTATTTTAACGCGTTAAGGATTGTAAAATTAATCGCATGCGTTAACGAGTTAACAATGACAGCCCTAATTATTATATTAGAAATATATTTAAAATAAATGTTGTATATAATGTTAATACTATGCGTATAATGAAGAAGTCTAATAAGAAGTCTCTCATGCTCACCAATGCCACATTATTTTAATTAATAACACAGTAAAACAACTGAATATTGTGAAATATTATTACTATTTAAACAGTTTTCTATTGAAAATAACCCTTAAATATCTTGAAATGTCATTTATTCCTGTTATGGCGAAAGCTGAATTTTCAGCAGCCAGTAGAAAAGCAGAAAATAAACATCTAAAACGATCCACAATGGCTTAAATATAACAAAAGATTTTTACATATTTCCAACTCCGTAACCACGGTGCATGAATTATAAACATCTTATCTTTGACTTTTATCATATTTTTTTTTACATTGGCTTTAAAATAACCATAATATCATTTAACAAATCATTTAAAATAATGTTTTACTATTTCACTATTCTGTTTATCCGTTTCTTCCTCTTGCATAACACACCAGCTCAGAGGTACATATTGTTCCTCACCGGTTGAAGTCATTCATGAGTCATTTTCGCCGCTGCTGATTGGTCTGCTGTAGAAAGCCTTTTTGTTCGGTGACTTTTGTGTCAGAAAAACGGCGACAAAGCAGTCACAATTCACAGGAATACAATAGTAAGTGTGCTTTGGGGCGTCAAAAGGGCATGAGTCACAATTTCTGAAGCACTAGATTTTGTGAGTTTTTGGGAGTCTTTGTTGGAAATAAGTGGGGAAAAGTTGGGAAATACTGAAAACTCAATGGCTGAAGTGCTCTTTTAACTCCTCGGATGAGAAATCTGTCAAGCGCTCTGGTTTTACCTGGGCAGCCAGCCAGCATGACCCCAGATATGCACCGACATACTTGCACACGGCGGCTTTGTGATTTTCCTGTCTGCTCTGTGTGAGGGTGAGGCAGTCCATCCCATCGAGTCACTGGTTCCATGCAAATATTCTTAAAGCAGCATGCAAAAGTTATGGAAATCCGGCCGACTTTATATCACTGCGGAATGTGCTGTAAGGGAAACGCTGCTGGAGCATGTGCTGGCGCTGATACACACATCTCTCCCTCTCTCTCCATTCTGTATATTCACCTGCTTTCTTCTACTTTCTCAAACCAGTGGAAATGACTTGGCCTTTAAGCAGAATGATTATTCAATCTAAATAATGTAGGGTGACCGGGGCTAGTCGTCACATGGGGAAGATATCACAATCTCACTAACTATAATGATATTTTGATAAATGTATTAATATTTTTGCATTGTGGGACATTATTTTTATGATCATTTACAACGTGAACCCCAAATTTCTATTCTATTATTTATTCTATTATATGTGTATCTGTAGTACATCATTATGCTTTGCATTGATGACACAAAAGCATAAATACAAATAAAATGTAGTGAGAATTACATTAAATCGCAAGACACTTATATAAAAAAGTATACAAAACTAAAAAATAAAATGTTTTTTAGTTTTGTTAAAAAAAAATAAAAAATTTTTTTTATAAAAATAATGTCACAATGCAAATAATGACAAGAAAGTGACAGTAAAGACATTTATAATATTACAAAACATTCTATTTCAGATAAATGCTGTTTTTTTTTTAAAGAATCATGAATAAAAGTATCACGATTTCCACAAAATATGTGTCAGCTCAACTGTTTTCAGTATTGATAATAATCAGAAATGTTTCTTGAGCAGCGAATAAGTATATCAGAATGATTTCTGGAGGACATTGTGACACTGAAGACTGGAGTAATGATGCTGAAAATACAGCTTTGCATCACAGCAATAAATTACATTTCAAATATATTTAAACCGAAAACAGTTATTTTAAATTGTAATAATATTTCACAATGTTTTTACTGTATCTTCGAATTATTATTTTTGAATGGCAGTGTAGTTTCATATTTTTTTATTCTCCTATATCTGAAGGTCTTACCTCATGATAATCACTTGTAAATCATTCTAATAATAAATGTCCTTGTGTCTCTGTCCATCCAGAAGACTCTGTGTCGTCTCCCTCGGGCCCCGCCCCCATGGACCTGCGTGTAGGTGAGCGTCTGGTGCGTCCGGGTTCGGACACGGCCTTCCTGTCCCCTCTGCACCCCCCTCTGCTGATCGGCCCCTTCAATCCACAGCACTGTTCCCAGTACAGCCAGCAGCAGCTGCAGCGCATACAGGTACATGTGACACACATCATTCTGAAATATCACACTGATCTCATACCTGTCATACCACTGCAATGCAAAATGACGATCAGTCTGTGCAAGGAACTGAACATTATTTACAACATTAATGCCTGTAATCCAGAGCCTCCTGCAAACGGGGAAGTCCGATTCTTTTCTGCTAACTGGTTACACCTGTATACAGTGGTGCATTAAATGTATCAAAAGCGACAGTAAAGACATTTATAATGTTACAAAAAAATGCAGTTTCATATAAATGCATGTCAAAAAAATTCTTACCGACCCCAAACTTTTGAACAGTAGTGTATGCGAGTCCTGTCGAAGATATTTATGTCTTTTTTTATATGCATATGACAGTTAAAACAGAATGCAATGCTTTGTAAATGATGTGCTCTTGTACAGATGTCTTGCACCTTTTCAGAAAACAGAAAATGATGAATGTCTATATAAATCATACCTGACATTATTTGTATGTAAATTGACAATTCATGAACAAATAGATTAATTGCCCAAATTTGTTGCATGAGACCCAATATGCGTGTGTATTTACTTAATGCACTTAATGTAAATGATAAGCCGATTATGACTGACGACTCCTCTTTTTGTAGCCTTATAACATGGAGCAGCATCTACGAGACCAGGAACTAGCGAAACTACAGCTACAGCAACTTAAAAACAAGGACAAGAGTCAACAGAGTGAGTGACACAATAACCCTTAAATAACTGCTGTTCAGAGACTTACTATGTACTTTCTTAACAAATATGTGAATGTTTAAAAGAATGTCAACGCCTAGTCACCCAACATATTATGCTAGATTAGTGTTACTTTGATTAGCGTGACAGAAATGGGATTCTGTTTTTCACAGAGTTTTTGCCATTTCGTGAATGAGATGCCTTTCAAATGAAGCACTTGGATGATTGATCACTCAAATGTCACTAATATGCAACTTTAGCCCCAAGAAAGAGATTTATCATTTTAGTTTGTCACACTTTTTCAACTAAGAAGAGTACAACCGGTGTAGTGCACAAGTAGGTTGTGTTGTGGAGGTTAAGAAAATGAAATGTACTAAAGCGACTGAGATAAAGGGTTTTAAATCGTGCCAGTGCCCTCTTTAATAGTAGTTCAACTGAAACGGGGCCACGGCTGCTTCAGGAAATAGCTCTGAGAGTAAAAACAAAACTTTGTGGTTGAAAACACATGGGAGGAGTCTACACTGAACATGGGAACCCTGTTGTTCTATAAATGGTATTTACTGTCTCACAGACGCTAGTGGCCTGCCAGTTACAGCAATTACAGATCGTGCCATGCTTTTTGTAGACATACGTGAATGGATGGAAGGTAATACCATAGTACTTTGATGTAGCTCATGGCACTGAATAACAGTTATCTACATGTATTCACCTGTTACTCCAAGTTACGTAAAAGATTACCATGAAATCTCTATGATATATAACAAAAAAAACCTTGGTGCCATGTCCAAAACATAGATAGATAGATAGATAGATAGATAGATAGATAGATAGATAGATAGATAGATAGATAGATAGATAGATAGATAGATAGATAAATACGTTTACAATTAATTAATTTTACAATTACCAGACAATCATATAGGCCTATCTAAAAACATGAATTGACGGTTTTTGCCAGACCAGGGTATCTGCAGGATATTTGAGCTCATATTTAAGACTTTTTAAGACCTGCACAAATAAAATAAAAATGACTGTAAAAAGCATGATTTAGAGTTTTCACAAAAACAAAGTGTTTTTTTTTTTATTATTAACTTCACATTTCAGCCTTTAAACTTGTTTTTTTAAGAAAACTGAGGCAAAGGTCAAGTCAAGTCAAGTCACCTTTATTTATATAGCGCTTTTAACAATACAGATTGTGACAAAGCAACTGAACAGCATTAATTAGGAAAATAGTGTCAATAATGCAAAATGACAATAGTAAACACTCATTTTTCAGTTAAAGACAGTTCATCATTGAATTCAGTGATGTCAACATCCAGCTCAGTTCAGTTAATATCTTTGCAATTATGTCAACGATAACGCTGGAAATGAAGTGTCCCCAACTAAGCAAGCCAGAGGCGACAGCGGCAGTGTTTTTTTTTTATTATTAACTTCACATTTCAGCCTTTAAACTTGTTTTTTTAAGAAAACTGAGGCAAAGGTATCAATTATTATATTAATGTAAACAATTGTTATAGCCAATTAATTAAATAACATGAATATATGCTACTATAATGCATTATCTTCTTGTCCACTAGTTCACATTTAAAACTCTGCATGTTTTCTGCTTAAAAACATAAGTTGATTTTCACATTGGTCTGAACTAAAACAGCAGAAGGGCTGATTGAAAATGCAAATTCATTCTCTGCCAGCAGGAGGTGCTTTTGGAACGGCAGAAATATATCGGTTTCCCCGGTAACGGTTTTGTTAGAAAATAGCTTTTGGCATTGATTTATTTCACTATGCCAAAAGGTTTTGCGGCCCGGATGGACGCATCTTGCGATCCGGATGCGGACCGGAGTCTGCCATTGGCGACCCCTGCTTTACACACTCCATCTGATGCTTGGCATTGTAGGTGGTGATGTGAGGATTTCATGCAGCTGCTCAGCCATGAAAACCCATTCCATGAAGCTCCCGCCGCACCGTTTTTGTGTTGATCTTACTGTCAGTGGAAATTTGGAGCTCTTCGGCTCTGGAATCAGAAGAGTGTTGGCGACTTTTACACACCATGCGCCTCAGCACTCTGTGACCTTACATGATCTTTCACTTCATAGCTGAGTTGCTTCTGATCCTAAACACTTCCACTTTCCAATACTTAGTTGACAGTAGAGTATCTAGCAGGGATGAAATTTCACCAACTGACGTATTGCAATGGTAGCAAATCCTATCACAGTACCACACTTGAATTCACTAAGCTCTTCTGAACAACCTATTTTTGCACAAATGTCTGTAAATGCAGACTGGATAACTAAAGCTTGATTTTACAGTAAACACCAGTGGCAATGTGTCTGATTAAAACACATGAATTCAGTAATTAAGAGGTGTGTCCCAATACTTTTGTCCATATAGAATAGTATAGTATAGTATAGATAGATAGATGAGAGGAACAGATTAGAGGTATCAGGGGTTTTGCACTTTTGCCCTCTGCTTGTCTGTAGCAGCACTGTGTGTGTGTGTGTGTGCGCGTGGTAGAATTGCTCCATTGTGCTCATGAGCGTCTCCAGTCACTCCAGAGCTGTGTCATGCTGCAGCTCTTGGTCACGCTGGCAAAACATTAATACCACTTTTGTTGTTGTTTATTTTTCATTGAATGAGGGCAGCGATTAGCCTTTTGAATCACGGCGCACTGTTACAGTTAAACAACATCTGGAGTCTGAAACCAGCTACCACCAGCTTTGCTATAAGATAAACTGTGCATTACGCCGATAATGATTTGTTGTAACACTCAGTGCTCTTCTAGTAAAAAAAAAAAAATCTAATCAAATGTATTATTATGATCATTAACACTCTGAAACACATTTCTGCATATACTGCAGTCAGTCTTAATCAGAAGTGTGTAGGCGATCCTCAAGTGAAAATTCACTGCAGCTAAAGTCTTTTATTACAGCTGATGCAATGATTGTTGTGAGAGAAAGCACCTGCAGAGAGGTAAAATTAATCACTCAGCGAAAACAGTAACCGAGTCAATATTGACCGTATTGGTTAGAGCCACCATGACGTAGCCGCCACATAATGGCCGCTCTGGAAGGACAGGGAGGCACTGAGTCAACATGCAGTATCCTTCCCTCGACCTCAATGCAACCTCACTTCACAATAGAGCTGAACCACACTCACAGTGCAGGCCCTCGATGGAAACATCGCTGACATTTATCTGTGGGAGAAAAGTGACATTTTAAACCTTTTAATATGATATTTGATATTTTAAGACTAGAAATATCAGTTTCGCCTAAAAAAAAACATTAAACTTAAATTAAATATAAAATAAACTAAAAATGACATAACATAAAATAATATGAAATAAAGATCTTTCTTTATTAATATTAATAAAGAATTCTTTAAAATGTAATTAATTATTAAAAAATATTAAAGACTCATAAAGATCTCTAAATTCACCTTACTTTAGATACTTAAAATTGCCTAGTCTAGGCCAAATAAACTAAACTAAATAAAATAAAATAGATACATAGATATATAAAATAATATGAAATAATATATAAAAATAATACAAACATAAAATAAAGAATAAAAAACAAAACAAAAAATAAATAAATACAATTTATGTTAATGAAGAAATAATTAAAATTGTTATGAAAATTGTTAATTGCTTTGTTTAAACCAATCAAGTGGCACATTGTCGTCTCATTGGCTGGTTGTGTTGATTGACAGGTGCTGTGGCCAGTGCGTTGGTGAAGCAGAAACTGGCGCAGGTGATTCTGAAGAAGCAGAAGGCGGTGCTGGAGAGGACCAACTCCAACCCTCTGAGCAGCCCGTCGGTCGCCTACCGGTTAGAAACAGCTCTCATTACCGCACGCAGCTGTTTAAGTGCACAGACTCATGTGCTTTTCCTCAGATTTGAAAATAAAGGTCTTCTGTGTTCCCACAGGGAGCTGGTTCCAGATCCCAGCTCTTCTGTCCAGCCGCTCCTGTCCTCCACATCAGCTCTCAGCGAAGGGCCGGACGAACCACCCCTGAGACGAGCGAGTATGTCACCGTCACACATGCATATAAACAACATCACATGACCGTTCATTCATCAAAGCGTGACATGACCAGATCACCTGAGAATGGGTGGCGCTGTGTGTTTGGGTGAGAGGCAGGGCCTGTCCTTCAGCAGGTGTGCTGTGTGGAAGCGTTCCAGCGCCGCTGCCCCGTTCAGACAAACTCCCAGCGCCTCGCTCTTCCTCCAGGCAGCAGTCTGTTAACAAGGCCTTGCATAACAGAGAACACTCCCCTGTCAGCCCCACAGCCAAAACACAGCACCTCATTATGTCATAATAACTCTGACTGGACGTCCAGTTACTCGCATGAATCCGCAGAGTTTAAAAGTCTTTGTTCTGCTTTTGTAGTGATAATTGTCACTATAATTATTGCTCGTATTTTCATGGGTTAAGGGTTTGCTTTAAAACTGTAAAAGTCTGTTCACACCAACACAAATGTGCAGCACAAAAACTCACAGTCGATTTGTCTGTTCAGACCAAAGCAGACAGACTGAAGGAAAATGCAGATTCACTCTCTGACAGTAGGTGGCACTTACAGAAAAAGCAGCACAAACAAAGGGAGTCACAGAAAAGAAAGGAAGTCAAACAGTAGTTACATGTTTTCAAACAGCAATTCAGATTTTTTCATTTATGATACAACACCAAAACACAACAGTACTTCCTCTGTTATTCATTGTCACGTAGGGACCAGAATATGATTCTGACAATGGCAGTAAGCTATCACCAGAAAGAGTTCAATTGTAACTCTCTCAGTCAGTTTTCAGCATAGAACCTGTTGCAGTAGAGCCAGTTTTCAAGTAGTCCTTGAGAGAGTTTCCAAATACTTGACCTGTCCACTTCATATCAGTTCAGTGCCGTCTGTCGGGATCACTTTGTGCTCGATGGCCAAACGAGGAAACGTTGAACATGATGCTGCGCAGAGCCATGTCATTTACTGGTAACGATGAGTAAGTGCAGCTGGATTTAGTTTTCAACACGTCCTCAGCCAGAACTAGTGTTTTTACAGTGACATATACAATTACCAGGAAGTACAGCAGAGATTTCAGAACCTTACACATAGAGCTGCAACTGTGTGATCAAACAGAGAGGAAGTAGAAGCTGTGCTGTGCTGTGCAGAACTACATCTAAATCAACTGTTTGGTGGGATATATGAATAAGAAGTCGACTAGTTGGTCTTAAAGGGATAGTTCACTCAAAAATGACATTTCTGTCATTCTGAAGAAACGTGATCACTGTATATGTTGAACAGATTTCATTTAGGCTTTTATTCACAAATAAACATTGATCAGAACATACAAAGCGTAATTTGGGGGGAAAAAAACGAAAAAGGAGCCGTTTTCTAATTTTTCTACTTTCAATATTAAATCAAAAAACGAATGATCGAATGATACACAGATTTGTTTTGTTTGTTTGTTACATTTAATTGTATAGCACCGTATAATTACTATGTTCCTTGTCCAAGGTGCTTTACAATTAAAAAATAAAACTAAATACCAGCAAAAATAAATAAATAAATCGTTTTATTGCACAAATGAGCTACAACAGAACCTGCAGAAGTACAGCAAGTGATCTAGAATGACCCAAACTGACTGAAAGCTTCATTTTGGTTACGCTGTTGTTGTTTTGTTCTTGTTGCAGCCTCAGAGCCCAACCTGAAGGTGAAGCATAAATTAAAGAAGCACCTGAACACCCGTAAGAGCCCGCTGACCCGCAAAGAGAGCGCGCCGCCCGCCGTCAAACACCGCGTCCCTGATACGCTGGGTAACTACAACACGCTACCTCTGCTTTTGAGATATTTTTGTGAAAATGAAATGTTGTTTAGATGTATTTTCTTGCTTTTTATAGTACATCATTTATAAGAATGAACAAAACTAAATGTTGTCATGTAGACCTCCTGTCAGCTAAACTGGCATTGTTACTGTACATACTGTAGGTATATTCATTTAGCACGAGCATGCAATTTTAAGGCATAGTCATTTTAAGGCATCCCTCATGTCGTTCCAAACCCGTAAGACTTTCATTCATCTTCAGAACTCAGATTAAGATATTTGAATGAAATCCGAGAGATTTCTGTCCCTCCATTGATACTCTACGCAACTACCACTTTGACACTTCATAAAGTCCATAAAGAGATCGCAAAACGAATCCATATGAATCAAGCGGTTTAGTCCACATTTTCTGAAGCGACTCGATCGCTTTATATGATGAACAGATTTAATCAAGGCTTTTTCGCATTAATCAACACACATCAGTTGTGAGGTTCATTCTCGTGTGTTACGGAGCAGGTTTGAGCTTCTGTAACAGCCAATGAGATTTGTTCTCATGCATCAGGCAAGTACTGTTGAGCTTCTGTTTATGTCTGCTCATCATTGTAAATACATGAATAAAAGCCTAGATTAAATCTGTTCATCATTTAAAGCGATCGAGTCTCTTCAGAAAATTTGGACTAAACCGCTTGATTCATGTGGATTCGTTTTACGATCTCTTTATGGACTTTATGAAGTGTCAAAGTGGTAGTTGTATAGACTGTCAATGGAGGGACAGAAATCTCTCAGATTTCATTCAAATATCTTCATTTGTGTTTCGGAGATGAACGAAAGTCTTACGGGTTTGGAACGACACGAGGGAGAGTAAACGATGACACAATTATAATTTTTTGGGTGAACTGTCCCTTTAATACATGCATTGATGTGCCAGCCATGTTTAAACTTGACAGATGTGTGTGTATTGCTCTCAGATTCGTCCCCCAGCAGCAGTAGCACTCCAGTGTCCGGCTGCAGCTCTCCAAACGACAGTCTGCCCAATGAGAACGGAGTGCTGCCCGCCACCGCCAGCCTGTCCCATGAGGTAACAGTCCACCCCTCAGCCCAGTCTCGAAGGTGTATCTTGGCTTCCTTATAATGGGAAGCTCTGGTAATGCAATTATAAATCCTAGCAATTATGGAAATGGCTCATTGTGTAATGAAGTAGTCGGTGCAGTTTAAATGAGTTTAGCTTCTCCCTTTTTTTAAATTACAAACTTTTTTTTTGGAGAGGACAAACTGAACACACACAGAGAGAGAGAGGCATGATGGGACAGTTCTTTAATATTCCTCTGGTGGGTGTTGTTTGTTTGGGGCGTTGGTTGAGAAAGCGAGCTCGACAGGGCTTGTTTCAGGAGGTTCCTGCTTCGCGCCTCCCTTTGGCATAATGACATGTTTTAAACAAAGACACTGGAGAAGGACAGCTGCAGGCAGCTGCCAGGACACCCAATCTCCCGTTTCCATCCAAAGCCTCCTCATCGCTTTATTACTCCACACTCCTCCATTTTTGGGCTTGCATAAATGCACAGCTCTCTGATGGGTCACACACAGGAGCCTCGTCCGCTCGCACGCAACAGTTAATCACAGAGGTTTTTTATTAAGGGTCAATATTTACCCCATGGAAATTTTGTAACTTTTATGACGGCATTTTATTTTCTTTCAAATTCCTTAGCTAACAAAATATCATTATTACTTCAGCTGCATCAATTAATTGAATTAAATTCTCGGTAAAACTTTAGCTTTGGGACCAATCCTCACTATTAACTAGTTGCTTATTAGCATGCATATTAGTAGCATATTGGCTGTTTATTAGTGCTTATAAAACACATATTAATGTGTTATTCTGCATGACCATATTTCAGATCCCTTAATCTCATACCTAAACTTAACAACTACCTTACTAACTATTAATAAGCAGCAATTTAGGAGTTTATTGAGGCAAAAGTCGTAGTTAATAGTGAGCGTTCGTCCCCAAACTAAAGTGTGAACAAATTTTATTGCTGATTATTATAAAAACAAATCAACATCAAATATAAAGGTAGCTGTAAATTATATGCAAGAATAACGCTTTGATCAAATAAAAATAATAATAACAAAATAAATACGTAAGAATGCATATTCTAAATATATAATAAAAAAGTACATATATTCTAAAAAACTCAACTGTCTACTTTCGTGATAGATTTTAGTGTAATCACTGGTCCAAGTTTTTGAGTTCACATTCAGTGTGTTCAGAGCTGATTTTAGTTGCTTTTCATTTTAAAAATCATTTCATATTAGCAACTTTTACCCAAAACTAAGTCTACTGAGAATAATAGTAATCGAATATTTAAAATTATTGATATGAAACTAATTTAAAATGTTGACTATCTAGGGTTAATTTTTTTTTCTAGAGCTTTTGTTAATTTTAGCTGCATTTCCCCTCTAATTCCTGTGTGATTTTGTCCCTGGTGCGTGTCTGTGTGCGTGTGTCTGTGTGTGCGTGTCTGCGTGTGCATGTGTCTGCGTGTGTGTGCGTGTGTGTGTGCGTGTCTGTGTGTGTGTGCGTGCGTGTGTGTGTGCGTGTGTCTCTGTGTGTCTGTGTGTGTGTGTGTGTGTGTGTGTGTGTGTGTGTGTGTGTGTCTGTCTGTGTGTGTGTGTCTGTGTCTGT